GTGCATGGGTGATGTTCCAACCACTGAGAAACACTGGCCAGGGCAGATTTGCATTCTTCATCTGACATGCTTTCCTCTGGCAGGCAGTTTAGATAATCACTTACTACATGATCTTTGGCAAGCATGCCTTCCTGTGACCTGGGGAGGCTGCACTATTGTGTCATGGTTGAGAAGACAGCTTTGTGTTGCTGAAATGTCTCCTAAAAGATCTGAGCTGAAGTAGGGTGATGGTTAATTTGCTTCTTTGGGATACAAGTTTCACTTCTCTGCTTGTAAGAACCCGCTCAACTGCTCAAAAACAAATTCCAAGTGATGCCAACAATATTATGTTGATAGGGAGAAGACATTTGCCTTTGTTCCCGTGAAGTTGAATTGAACTGGAGTTCAAAATACATTCAAGAATGACATTTTTGGGACCCTAAGAACAGGAAGTGACTCAGCAGAAGAACATTTCCTCCTTGTATCAGTTTTTCAGGTGTCCTGTTGCCCAGATTGTTAATTTTCAGCTGTAAGTCTAGTGTGGGGGAGTATGTGAGTGTGGGTGTGAGAAGGTTTGTACCCAGCTGGTTCACCCTACAGGACCTATGCCTGTGGTAAGCTATATTGTAAAAAAAAAAAAAAAAAATATATATATATATATATATATATATATATATCCTACATAATAAAAGGCTACTATGCAAATTGTCCCCATGGGAAGAAGTTCAACCGAGTTGAACAACCGAGAGGAAGTTCAACCTAGGAAGTTCAACTGAGGAAGTTCAACCAAGTTCAACCGAGGAAGTTCAACCGAGTGGGAGTTAGGTGTGCGCTGACCATCAGGGGGCAGTGCAGAACATGGCAGGTGTCAGCAATATGGCGCTGGCAGTGGGCAGCAGTGGAGGTGCTGCTGGCCCGGTAGGCCCTGAGGAGAGTCGCCCACAGTGGGATGATGGAGCAGGTGAGTGGGTGGTGCTAGACCAAGGCGTGTGAAAAGGGAGGCCCTGGCTGGCAGTTGGCAGCCGCTAGGGACCTTACCTGTGCATGAATATGTGCACTGTGCCTCTAGTTGGTTATAATCTCTTTTGTTACTAGATTTTACAGATGCAAATAAGATGCGACTCTAGACATGGTTGGTTTGTTAGTGCAGCTGTTGAAACTTGCTTTCTATCTACAGTTCTGAAAAGTCATTTAAACTCTGAGAACAAGCAAAATATTAATTTCTAAAATTAGATAATTCAGATAATCACCCACACATACAAAACAGGAAAAAAAAAGCAACCATTATTTCCAAGCCTTCCAGAAGCTGAATTCAGTTTCCCTAGGTGCACTTTGTCATTTTGAGCTTGGGATGAAACATATCCTTCTATTGCCAGGTTTCTGAGCCAGACAATTAGGACCATGGAGCACCCACCTTTTGGAAAAGCCACTCCAAGCTTCACACTCTTCACTGCTACCTTATTCTTGGTAGGTAATAAGAATGAGGATTGACAATAATTGTGTACACATCATTGGCTGTGTACTGTTTTACATTCTTTACATATTTTCTTATTTATTCTTCACAATTATTCTAGGGTAAGGGTTAGACACTGTGATTTTATAATGAGAAAACCGAGTAAAGTAACTCTCCCAAGGTTAAAAAGCTAGAATTTTAATCCAGGCTGTCAGAGCCAGAGCTTGGGTACTTTGCCTTCATGTACTAGAGTGCCTTCCATAATTACGTTCATATAGGCAGATGTTTTCTAACATATCCTTTTTTTTTTTTTTTTTTTTTTTTTTTTGATACAGACTCCTTTATTCAAGTTGAGTCTCAGCCAAAGCATAAAAACAATGCAGATAATAGTGGAGGTGTGTGGCTGAAGTAGTAGGAGTGGGTCAGATCTGGAGTTTTGATTCTTTCCTCCACTTTAAATACCTCTCTAGTCCCCATTGCTCTTAGGGACACATTCCTCTTGCGAATTGATTCATATAGGCCTCAATTTTTCTTTTCTCTTGTACAATTTTAAAAACATGCAATACCTGACTAGTCAGGCGCACTGACCTCTTTTCCCTGAGATCAGTGTTTCCCAAACTTTTGACATATGTGTACCCTTTCTATAATTTTCATAACGCTGAGTACCCCTCATACTCATGAGAACGTAGAATTAGGCACAGCTAAGCACGGTGCAGTGCATATCCCCACCAAACTCCGGTGCAACGCGTACCCCCACCAAACTCTTCCCGTACCCCTGGGGGTACGCATACCACACTTTGGGAAACACTGCTTAGATTATCAAATAGAAATGACAACAGCCAACAATATGTCTAAAAATAAAATGACAATAGCTGTAGTGTAAATGGCTTGTCCTGACCCATAAATATGATATGTGATATCCTATCTAATAAAATAATAATATGCAAATTAACTATCACCCTACTTCACCAACAGCCATGCCCACAAGCCAATCAGAATGAGTATGCAAATTAACCCCAATCAAGATGGCTGCAGCCACAGAGAGCAGGAGGAGGCTTGGGTTTCCCTGGCAATGGAGGAAGCCAAACTTTCCACACACCATGAAGGGCCCAGACTTCCACTCAAGGATACAAAGTTTCAATTATAGAAGGTAAATAAATTCCAACAGAAATGGCAGCAGCCATGGAACTGGGAGAGCAGAAGACTAGGGTTGTCCCCGGCGGTGGAGGAAGCCAAGCTTCTGCAGCCCTGGCCAGCTCAGGCCTTCACTCAAGGCTACAAAGTTTCAATTATAGAAGATATATAAACCCCAACAGAAATGGCTGCCACCACAGAGCAAGCAGGAGACTTGGCCACTCCAGGCAACAAAATTTCAATTGTAGAAGATAAATAAACCCCAGATACCAGGGCCTCCTCTTGGGTCACCGGGGTGTGTGGCTGGCCTGAAACCCACAGGCCCCTCGCCCAGGGTTAAGATAATCACACACACATACAAAACAGAAAAAAATTAAACACTTATTTCCAAGCCTTCCAGAAGCTGAATTCAGTTTCCCTAGGTGCCCTTTATCATTTTGAGCTTGGAATGAAACATACTCCAAAGAAACTCCAAGGGAACCCCCAAGGGAACCCTCACCCTGATCAGGGACACCCTTCAGGGCAAACCAGCTGGCCCCACCCATGACCAGGCCTCTATCCTATTAATATCTAATAAAATATTAATATGCAGATTGACCATCACTCCAACACACAAGATGGCTGCCCCCATGTGGATACAAGATGGCCACCACAAGATGGCCAACAGGGGAGGGCAGTTGGGAGAGACCAAGCCTGTAAGGGAGGGCAGTTGAGAGGGACCAGACCTACAACAGAGGGCAATTGGGGGTGATCAACCCTGCAAGGAGGGGGGCAATTAGGGGTGACCAGGCTGGCAGAGGAGGGAAATTGGGGGCAAACAGGCTGGCAATGGAGCAGTTAGACATCAATAAGGCTGGCATGGGAGTGGTTAGGGATGGTCAGTCTGGCAGGCAGAAGCAGTTAGGGGCAATCAGGAAGGCAGGCAGGTGAGCAGGGAAATATAGAAGTTATGAAGAGTTCAAAGCTGATGGTCAGCTACTTCTCCACAACACAGTGAATTTCTATGGAGCAAACAGTGAGCAACCTGACAGCAAGGATTCTGTTTTAAGCCACCTGTCATGAGATGAATGAGCTACAGCTTTGTAAGAACTGCTTCTATTTATCAAATGCTGGTCTTAACCATTGGTTCTGCTATCCTTGAATACCTAATCATGAACTGATTTGGGCTAAGATAAAAGGTTTTGGATTCTGGCCAGCCAATGTCATTCAGAAGGAGGAGAATCAGGTTGACGTCTACTTCTTTGGTCACCACCATCAAAGGGCTTGGATTCCTTCTGAAACACACAGGACATCACAATCAGTGTCCATCGGCTGCAAGTATAACACAGTGTGGATTGAGGAAATGCCTGTGATGAGCAGGAACTGTATCAGCATTTCCTATGTGAAAGGAAGATTTTGGAAGTCTAAGAATGAGGCAGTTGGGGAGGAGGAGGCAGAATCCAGTATCTCCTCTACCAGCAATGAGCAGCTCACGGTCACTCAGGAACCAAGAGCAAAGAAAGAGTGACATAATCAAAGTGTGGAACCAAAAAACCAAAGAACCAGAGCCTGAAACTGAAGCAGTCAGTTCCAGCCATGAAATCCCTCTAATGCCTCAGCCAACTGAAAAAGTTTCAGTGCCAACTCAGACTAAGGAGTTAAGTGCCTCTTCACCAAGAATGTTGCATCGAAGCATCAGACCATCAGTGATGGAGTGTGTCAAAGCATGTGCCATGTGGATATTTATAACATCCTTCTCAGGCCATACACTTATTAACTTAAAAATTAGCCTGCTATATTTGGTCAAACATTTAACTAATACCCCTAAGGCCTTGGCAGGGCCAGATCAAATGATTTCTTAGGCTAGATGTTCCCCTACCCTGCCAGGAATTGAGAATGAAGACAAGAGATTTTCGAGTTATAATGGGTTATGCTTCATGGAAAAGACAAAACATGAACATTTTAGTGTTTCTTTAATAGGTGAGATTGTGTGGAAATGTTTTTAAGGAGAAAACACCCTTTTTCATAGAGAATTTACTTGGCTAGTTAATAGCACTTCTCTTTCTTGGGCTAAATGTAGTCACTTCTATTATACAGTATACCCTAAAGCCTTTGTCTCTTTTGGTGGAGACACGTGAGCACTGCTAAGGGCCTGGAATGTCCCAAGAGGGTAAGAATAGCCCACATGAGAGATGACTCCTGCAGTCTTCTGGTCCCCACAGTTGTCAGGAACACTTTGCCTTGAGGCAAACAGCTCGGGGGCCCGTCTCAACTCGGAGACAGAAAAACTGACCTCTTGCTCCTGGGCTCAAATCTTTCCTTTCATATTTATAACTTTCATTTTTAACTCTTTTGTAGCTAACATACTCTTATTTCTCCAAAGATTTTTCACCTCCTTGGAGTCAACAATCTTCTGACATACCCAGCAGCCTTGAATCTTCAACATTCTGGAAGCATGGACCGTTTGGACTTGCTTGGGTTCCTCATCATCACGTTAAACTGCAATGTGACTATTGTGGGTGAGTATAAGAAACACCCCCAACGTTCTTATTCTGTTTTTTGGTTTATTTTTTATTTATTTTTTTTTATTGGTTTCCACACCCACACCAACACGAAGTGCAAAAGTCTGTGCACTGCGGGAGCAAAAGGGGGCTGTGGGTTCAAGCTCCTGACTTCACCATGGTTCCTCCATCATTTAAGGAAGTGAGTCTTTTTCTCTCCTGGGGCCTCTTCTTGCTGATACTCTGGTGCTGCGTCTAAAGCCTGAGCAGGTGAAAGGGGTAACACTTCTCTGGCTGCATCACCAGGAAAGGCACAATAATAAAAGTTAAAGATAAATTAATGCCTCAGTTATGCTTTCTTCTTGTTCATCATTTTAGAGTATAATCTTGAAGCTTAATTTGAAAGAATAGCAATTTCTTTTGTGCTTTAGACCAAATCCCAATTTTAGTTATTTTTTAAACAAAAAAAAAGGTATTAAAGACTTCTAAATTTAGTACAAATAAGACACATTTTTAGAGAGATATGAGTGTCCTAGAAAAAGGGATTGAAAAAAGGATTAGTCATTGGTATTTTTCTTACTTGTTATTTTGTATAATTGAAACAAAATCAAGATGGCCTTTAAGAGTTTGAGTCAATAACTTCATCACATAATAATATTATTTAACTACCTTCATTTATAATAGAGTTTTGTTTTTCTATAAGGTGATGTTTTCTGTATCTTATCACAAAACAAAGTATTTACAAATTATTTTCACTGAGCCTTAAACAACATGTTTCAAAATAGTTGACTCATGACATGAAAAGAAGACTTTAAAAGTTATTTTGATTCCCCAGGCTGGCCATATTTATTCATGATAAGTTGAAAAAAGACAAACCTCATTAATTATAACAACTGAAATAGGAAAAGGAATTCTAAATTATTGAAAATTCTGAAAAATTGATTATTCTTAAAGAATGTTTTTGTTAATCCTCATGGGAGGACATGATTATTGATTTTTAGAGAGTGGGGAAGAGAAAGAGAAACATAGATCGGTTACCACTCATAAACGTGCCCTGAGTCAGGGCACATACCAACCTGCAATCTTAGTATGTGCCCTGACCAGGAGTTGAACCTCCCACCTTTTGGTGTGCTGAACACACTCTCATCAATGGAAGCACCAAGACAGGTTTAAAGAATTTGATCACAAGAGCCATAAAGCAACATTAAGTACAAAAACTATTGCCTGGCCCATGTTGCTCAGTGGATTGAGCCTTGTCTCATAAGCCAAAAGGTCACTGGTTCAATTCCTGGTCAGGACACATGCCCACATTGCAGCTCCATGCCCAGTAGGGGGCATGCAGGAGGCAGCTGATTGATGTCTTTCTCCCCCACCCTTCCTCTCTCATATCAATAAAATATGTATTTAAAAAAATAAATATAAGTCCTGTTACTAAATGAAGGTCTTGTGGACCATTATCCTATCTAATAAAGAGGGAATATGCAAATTGACCATCACACCATTACAAAGATGGCAGTGCCCATAGCCACAAGATGGCAGCTCCCAATCCCCTCAGCCTCATCAGATTCTCCCTGTCCTTTCAGCCCCACGTGGGAGAGTGGTGGCAGGTGTGTGGTGCAGCCAGACCTGCCCTCAGCTCCCAGCCATCCAGGGCTGCCCAAGGCTCAAGTAACCAGGGCCAGCTGAGGTTTACGCTGCTGGCAAGCAGCAGAGGTGTGATGGGGACATCTCCTTCTCCTGATCTCTGGGTCTCCTCACACCCCTGAGGGATCTTGGACTGTGAAAGGGGGCAGGCCGGGCTGAGGCATCCCCCCCTCCAGTGTATGAATTTTCATGTGCTGGGTCTCATAAATAAAGTCATAAATAAAGACTTATTTATTTGCTCTACACAGTTACAGGAATGTACTAATATCCTTTAAGAAGTTTAATTTTCTAAAAAAGTAAGTTCTTATTTGCATCATTCATTATCTCAGCTCAACTTTCTTTTTAGAACTTTCAGTCCAGGAGACATTACCAAAAGTCTGAACTAGCATAGTCAAATTAATCATTTTCTGTAATTACTCTTCTTCAACATCTGCTAATTTCAATACATTTCACAAACAAGTAATTCACACAGTGACTAACACATTGTAAGTGCTCAATAAATATTTATCACATGTAAACTAGCTAATACTGTTGCTATGACTAAAATGCAAGCTTTTGGACTTCACACTTCACTCTCAGCCCCAGGACATATTTAAACATCATTGTTAGGAGGAAGTCTGTTTCCATGGTAGTGTCCTTCTCTTTTCCAGGAAAGATCTGGCTTATCTTCATGATCCTGCTGAGGATGGTGGTGATCATTGTGGCTGGGTCCCCCGTTTACCAGGATGAGCAGGAGAGGTTTGTGTGCAACACTCTGCAGCCAGGGTGCGCCAATGTCTGCTATGATGTTTTCTCCCCAGTGTCCCACCTACGCTTCTGGCTGATCCAAAGCCTGTCTGTTCTCCTCCCTTCTGCGGTTTTCACTGTCTTTGTGCTGCACAAAGGAGCCCAGCTCGCCACCTGGGGACCCTGTGGGACAGATGGTGGTTCAGGGAGCCAGGACCTCGCAGATCTGAGCCCCAGGGATAGGCGCTGCCCTCTGCACTGCAGGGAGGGGCGCAGCCTAGTGGTGCCAGACTTTTCCTCCGGCTACATTGTGCACCTCTGTGTTCGGACCCTGGCAGAGACAGCTTTTGGGGCCTTGCATTACCTCCTCTTCGGATTCTCTGTCCCCAACAGATTTTCCTGCGCCCACTCTCCCTGCTCTGGCGCGGTGGATTGCTACATCTCTCGGCCCACGGAGAAGTCCACGCTGATGCTCTTCCTCTGGGCACTCAGCGCGCTCTCTGTGCTGCTCAGCGTGGCTGACCTGCTCTGTAGCTTGGGCAGGAGGACGCCAAGGGGGCCGGGACCCGCCGAGGGCCCCCGGGAAAGGAGGCCGGACCCCGTGGTGCTGGATAGGCCCGGGGAGGAGAGGCTGTGGCTAGCACACTCAGGCCTGTGCACCAGAGGGCACGGGGCCCACAGCCCCAGTGGTCAGAGGGCTGTGTCGGGGCGGATGGAGCTTCCAGAGGATGAGAGTGAGGGGCTGTCCTTTGCCAGCGACAAGCTCTCCAGGGCTTGCACAGAGCCTGGGGTCAGGCCCCACGCAGAGGCCCCCCCGGACTCTGGAAGTGATCATCTCTCAAAGCCCCGCCGTCTGCTGGCCCCGCACCGCCCGTCCAGTCCCTGGCAGCCCGCAGCCCGCCAGGCTGGCGCTGGGAGCGCCCCTCTCCTGGGGACCCGAAGGTCTGAGTGGGTGTGAAAAGGGCGGCCAGGCAGCACAGTGACTGAAAGAAGACTTGAACCCTAAGGTCACCTGGGCACGTGGGAAATCTTCATGTCCCAGGAGAATATCAACAGGCAGGAAGGCCAGCTGGCCTGCGACAAGGACTTCGTGGGACACTCACAGACTTGCACTGTTGATTTAATTTAGATAACCCTGTCTGCTGAATTCAGAAACCCTTGCATTCAAATTCGGACTAGAAGCTAAAATGATTAATTCGAAAGTGTCAGGTTGCTTAGGGATTATGCTACACTCTGACTGGTTTGTTGTCTTATTCTTTATCATAGTATGTGCTTTATGTAAAGCAAGTTCTTTTACATTAACGGAGTTCATTACTGTTTTCCAGTGAATTATTATGAGTCTTTTTTTCTTTTTGTTTGTTTTTCTGCTTGGATTTAATTTTACAAAGAGGCACCTTAAGCGCGGCATCAGTAGAGACACATTAGTTTAACTTCTCCAAACCTTTAACAAATTAATGGTGATTGCTTGTGATACCCCACTTCATACTTCATATGTCATACGTCATACTTCATACTTCATTCTTCATTCTTCATACGTCACACTTAGTGAACGTGAACTGGTTTCACAGTTCCTGCCCCTCTCTCTGCGTGTGCACTAGAAAGCGCTGCCTGTTTGTGGAATGGGCACACGCTCCTTACTGCCCTTCTTTGCGTTGCTCTGGTCTGTGTGACTCTGTTAGGGTTTCAGTGCCGCCTTTAGTTGCTTGATGGGAAGATGCAGTGCCACAGAAAGAGCTACTATGGGACAGGACAAACCTGCTCACTTTCATCAAGAGAGGAGAAGCCATCTGTTATGCTTCCAGAATTTATAAATATCCTCTGGTCCCCAAACACAAAATGGCTGAGGAAGACAAATTACTCTCACCATTCAAATAATAAAAAAGGCAAATGTACCTATGAAATCAATGGACACTTAACTATTCTAAAGAAGACTTTGACGATGAAATATCTGCTAAGATGGAGAATAACATCCTACTCACTATATATACAGGCTATGAAAGCAATTGGTTAAGACTGAAAAAAAAATCATCCAAAATTAGTTTTGGCATAAAAACCAATAAATGTGCCTGTATTTAATATATGCAGCAAATCAATTTCTCTCTTTCTCCTCAATTTATTGAAAACAGCCGTGACTCAGACCCTTTTTTCAATACATAGGTCAATTCTGCATATATAAATTAATCTGATTTTGAGTCTGATATTCCTCAACGATTCAGGGGCAAATCTGGTTTTTGTCTCTTATAGTATGCAATTGTGGTGGACTTCCCAAAGGTGGGTATAGTCTTAGAGATATAAGGAGTCTCTAGGGTTTCATTACTATTCCCCCACCCCCCAAATTAATACATGTCTTACTGCATCTTATAATCACCAGTAAACTTGAGGAATCATTGGGCATCTTGCTGTTTCTATAGGCAGACACTTAGATCTTATTCATCAGCTTGTTGAGCTGTTCCTTTTTTAGAAACATAAATACCATCTAACATTTTCTTTTATCCTTACTAGAGGCCCGGTGCATGAAATTCGTGCAAGGGGGTGCAGAGGTGGGGGAGGGGTTTGTCCCTCAGGCCGACCTGCAAAGATGCCAGCATCCCTCACCCCGGCCAGAGGTTTCTCCCCTCCTTCCACACAGCCTCTGGGAAGATGCTTGTCCTGAAGCCTCCTCAGGGCCCCAGCCTACGAAACCCTGCAGTTCAGGTACTCGGGGGCTTGGGCTTTCAGGTCTGGTTTCCCCACCTGATGTGGTGCGCATCAGCTGCCTTGGGAGCCTTGCCTCAGGAGTCGCCCCCTGAGTTGGACCATACTACTTGCGAGTGTGGGGGGACGGTGTAGGCGGCAGTGATTTGATGTCTGTAGCATGCCTGCCAGACACTCCTGCACCGCAGCGCCATGCTGGTCACATCTGGACTGTGGGCCGGGAGCTTCCAGCCTGTGGATGGGTTGTGACTGGGGGCTGCAGGTGGAGGATCCTGGCACCCATAGGGCTCCCTCAGCATCAGGAACTGGAAAGATCAATTTTTCTGGTTCCCCCTTTCCCTCCACCTGGCTGGCCTGGCCAAGGCACAGATGCTAAGCTTGTGCTGTCTCTGGTGACAGGAGTTCAGCACACTGCTCATAGTCCTCTGGCCAGAGTCCCCTCCCCTCTGTGGCCAAGGAGCAGATGCAGGTCTCCCATTGCCAGGCCAACCCACCAGCGTCTGCTATGGGTGCCGCCATTTTTGTTGCAGAGTGATGGTTAATTTACATGTTACTCTTTTATTAGATAGGATTGTTTTTAGTTAATCCTCACCCCAGGATATTTTTTTCCATTGACTTAAATAAAAAGAAGGGAAAAGAGGGAGAGAGACATCAATGTGAGAGAGACACATTGATTGATTGCCTCCCCCATCTGCCCTGACAAGACAAGGATTGAGCCTGCAACCCAGATACGTGCCCTTGACCAGAATCGAACCTGCAGCCATTCAGACTGCAGGCTCTAAGTACTGAGTAAAACTGGCCAGGGCTGATGTCCTTGTTTTTAACTGTTGTGACTTGCAGCTGAATTTAATTTAAGTTCACTGTCATTTTCTTCAGGAATTAACTCATCTTTCTGAACTTGAGATACTGAACTAGCAAACCTGACCTCATCTAAAACCTAAGGCTATATTATTCACTTAAGAAATTTCTGATTTCAACAAGAGAACCATCCTATCTAACAAAAGAGTAATATGCAGATTGACCATCACTTCAACACACAAGATGGCTGCCCCCATATGGTCAAAGATGGCTTTCCCCATGTGGACACAAGATGGCTGCCACAAGATGGCTGACAGAGGAGGGAAGTTGGGAGGGACCAGGCATGCAGGGGAGGGCAATTGTGGGGGAGCAGGCCTGCAAGGGAGGATAGTTAGGGACAATCAGGCTGGCAGGGAAGCAGTTAGGCATCGATCAGGTTGGCAGGGGAGTGGTTAGAAGTGATGAGGCTGGCAGGCAGTCAGGCGAGCAGTTGGGAGCCAGCAGTCCTGGGTTGTGAGCAGTTGGACATTTCTTGAGGGGTTCCAGATTGGAGAGGGTGCAGGCTGGGCTGAGGGACACATTCTCCCTGTGCACAAATTTCATGCACTGGGCCTCTAGTTCTCCTGAATAAAAATGCTGATGGAGAATTGAATGTATACAGTCCTCCTCTTGTAAAGAAAGCCCAGTGTAATAGCTTGATCATGTCTATACATGACTTCAGATGGTGGGAACGATGGTCAGTTCTTTCTATTTCCCTACTGTTTTCAACCTAGAACCTCTTCTCTTTCTTTCCAAGGAGATTAAGTTCCATATTGATGTGATTTAAGTCCCTGAGGTGCTTCATAACTGTATGTCCCTTCAGAGTGATGTCTACATTTTCTGGAATGTCAACAGTCCGTTGAGAATGATCTTCATCCTCATATAGCTGTGACACAGAACTTTATTATTATTTTAAAAGTAAGCTCCACAGGCCCCTCAAACACCTCAATGTTAGCATTGATAATGTTGATTGATGCATACCTGAATAATAACTGTGAAAGGAAGGTGGCAAAAGCTGAGCTGGTTGGTTGTTTTTTTTTTTTTTTTTTTTTTTTTTTCTCAGTTCCAGAGTGAAAACTGGGCAGAGCATCTATGTATCCTTCTCCTATTGGAGTCTATACTTAGGTTTGGATTTATAAAGAAGTGTGATTTTATTTGAGTGGCACTGGTCAGGGGTTGCTTTGTCCACTCTGCTGATGCCCACAATCCCTCTATCAAACAATCAGAGTTTGTTCTATGGAAAAATATTCATAGCAATAGGTATAAGAGGGAAGGAGAGAGGCAAGGAGCCAAGAGTAGAACTCTGGATTCTTATCCCATGTTCATCATTACTTAGCAGGTCACTTAATTCTTCTGAGTCTATTTCCTTTTCTGGGTGAAAGGGACCCAAACAGGATGGTTCCTTAGTACTCTACAAGTTTAGAAATCCATCAATGAGATGTGCATCTGTCATTCATTTTAACCTAAAGGGGTTGATTCTCTAGGTCCTTCCATCCTGCCAATTGCCTAAGCACAGGTTTTGATAAGATGGAGATGGACAGAACAAGAGAGGCCTGGGAAATGTGTTCTGGGAAAAGCTTCCATGGAAGAGAAGGGGATTCCATGCAAAGTTGGAGGGGCCTGAAGGCAATTTACTGACTTCATGCCTTACTGGCAGAGGGCTTAGTGGACAGAGACAAGGGTCATCTGATGTGACCCCCAATCCTGTGAGGAGCAAGCTTGCTGACACGGTGTTCTGGAACCTAAATGGCTGTGTTACTATGACTGTGAATTGACTATAGGAAAATACAGATGGAAGAAACCCTCTTCTTCTGTTTACTGTCACATAGGACACCTAGTTTGTAACTTAGGTTTTGAAGCCTTTTAGAGACATTTTCTAGATATGTAAGGAGAGGGAAAAATCTTAGACTGTATGTAAAAGGTAAAAAAAAAAAAAAAAAAAAAGTAGAAAATCATGTGACTATCAATCTTCCTTATCAAGATTTTAACGTGCTTCTCTGCATCTTTGCATACTGGCTAAATGAAAGATGGTTCATGAGTTTGTGTTCCTACTCCAGAGAGTTACTGAATCACCATTTGCCTAAGGCAGGGCTGTGGCAAGTTAAGGTAATTGTAGCTGCTGTAAAACAGAAGTTTCATAAAGTACAAAGTGAGTGTTCCTGACTGCTGGGCGGCTTTCCTCTGGGTAGTGTCTCAGGGGTCCTCCTATCCTGTGGCTCACTCCATCATCTTCTACCCACAAACCAAGTTGCTGTGGAAGGGACAAGTCCAGTGCTGTAGGTCAGGCCTGGAAAGTGCACCAGCTCTTCTGGCACACTCTCCAGTGAGAACTCAGTCCTGACTGCTCTGGAGGCCCAGAAAGGAGGAGGAAAAGTCTGGCCAACAGCAAGCCATGATTTATCTCAGGCAGCAATCATTTTCTGGGCA